AGGGCCGCAGCCACCTCTCCTCGGGGCTGGTGCTGCGCTGGTTCCAGGGCCACCTGCAGCGGTGCCTGGGTGCCGTGCGGTACCGGCTGCAGGAGCGCTGCCGCATCAGCCTCTCGGCCTGCCCCGGGCGCCCGCCCACGTTGCACATCGTGCCCTGCTCCGACTACGTCTGCTGCCACATCTCCATGGCTGTGCGCCTCATCCCTGCCATCCCCCTCGGTGACACGCTCTACCTCATGGCCCTGCTGCCTGAGGGCCCGCAGGCACCCCCGGCCCCCGAGGCTCTCTGGGGCCTCAACGCCTCACGGCAGGAGCAGCGGCTGCTGAGCTGGCTGAAGGAGCAGGCCCCGGCCTCCTCCTGCCACCTCAAGTGCCTGCAGATCCTCAAGGGCCTGCGGGACCTCCGCGGGCAGGGCCTGGAGGAGCCCTTCTGCTCCCAGTGGGGCCGGGTGCTCTCCTCCTACGTGCTGAAGACGGCCCTCTTCTCCCTGCTCTTGCAGGGGCCCTTGGAGGCCTGGGACGAGCGGTTCCTGCTGGAGCGGCTGGAGGACCTGGTGCTGTACCTCAGGGACTGCCTGCGCAAGCAGGTGCTGATGCATTTCTTCCTGGGCAACGCCAGCCTCCCTGAGGCCGTGGCGCTGCCCCGGTTCCTCAAGGAAGCCGCCCCCGTGAACTTGCTGGCTGCCTTCGACGGGCCCACGCTGGACCTGGCCGCCTTCCAGCTGATCAACACCTGGATCCAGGCCCCGCACGTCATCAGGATGTACAGCAGCCCCCGGTACTTGCGACCAGCGCTCACCCCGTGCAGGCACGTCGCCGAGGCCGGGCAGGAGCCGCTGGGAGAGTGAGCCGGTGGCTGGGTGAGCCAGTGTCGCCTGTAGACCTGCTGGGGCAGCGCGCACTCCCAGTCTGCTGGTCCATCATGAGCCCGCAGCTGCCTGAGGAAGGTGGGATCCGTTTAAATGTGGTTCTGTGGTTTTGTCCCTGACCTGAGAAAACTAGGAAACCAGAGGCCAAGACTTAATGAAATTGTGATTCTTGTTTTTTAATCTCGTGGGTTGTTCATGGGAAAATTGTGAGATTTCTGGGGAAATGCCTTAGTCGAGAAGCGTAATGTTCAGTCAACTGTTTGCAAGCCTAACTTTAACAGGCTCAAACTGACATTTCTGGAAATCCATGTTAACTTGTTGTCTTAGTGGCAAAATTGACCTTTTTCTGAGATTTGCTTTTTATGATACAAAATCTGTTTGGGATTTAAAAGTCCTGTAAATGCAGACAAACACCCCCCCCAATGTACCAAGATGCTCTTAAAATGCGATGAGCACTAGAGCATGGGTGTTGATCACAGTTTGAAATGCTCAATGACACACTTTAAATTTCCTGTGTAATCAAATGCATTGTGCTGAATAGAAATATAATACGCATGTTAATGTAAAATTGAGGGAAGAAGTGAAACCTCTCCGACAACAGTATGAAGAATCTAGTTGCATGTTTCTGTGTTCAAGTGAAGGTTATACTGAAAGATTGAAATACAGATAAAAGGAAACAAATAGCACTTTATTTTCACAAAGGCCTTCTTTTTAGGATAATTGGCTGCACTAAATACTTGCTACAGAGGAGGCATAAGTATTTTGTTAAAGGGATGATGTTTGAGTCATCCTGAGGAAAACCTTCTTATAAGGAAATACTCTGAGGTTCGTTTGTTTGTGGGTTCTTGTTGAGATTTTTTTCCCCCCCCCCCTGGCTTCGAGTATTATTTTCTTAGAATTTGCTTTACCTCAAGGACCAACAACAAAACTAAGAAATTCTGTTTTGTTTTTTTTTTTCTTTTGAACAAACCTTAAACCAGGCCAAATCTCAGTGCTGTAAGCTGACTGCTGCGCCCTCCTGCTCTCCGGTAGGAGTTTGGTGGGATTTTTGGATGACTGCCTAACCGGTTGTCTGATTGGGGCAGCGTTTTGACCAAAGAACCGGATGGGATTTTCTAGTGCTGTGCTATGGCAAATTGTTACCTTATTGCGGAGAGGAGGAGGTGAAATATTTCAGGGTACTTCAAAATTATTTAGCACTAATTCATGGTACAGTGGCAGTCTTAGGCTATGGATTCTGGTGTCTTCTAAACGTAGACATCAGCCAGATAATTTCCACTTCCTGCCTGGTTATGCCCCGGTCACTGGAATAACCTGGCGAGTTGTAACGCAGCCAGCTCTGCACGTGTCCTTAGCTCCCGGTGCAGGTACCTGGGGTATGGGAACCTGACGTGTCCCAGGGTGTCAGCAAATTCAGAATTTCAAATCCTTGCTCTATTGGGTCACCTGCTCAAGTATTTGATGTATTAATACCCAAAATGCGTTGCTGAATTGCTGGTTCTCAGGAAGCGAAGCATGTGCCTTATTACCCGCTATACTGTGTCCTAGGTGAGCAGTCTGAAATGAATTATAAATGACCAAGTGTAACTTCTGGGAAGCTTTAGGATAACTTGGAGTTACTAACATACTCCTCCTCTCCCTGATGTACATAGAGATACCAGCGTGCTTTATTCACAGTTCTATGCATCAGAGCACAAAACAAACATTTTCAAAATCTATGAAGCTTTATAAAAAACTATTTTTCTAAATGGAAACACTCCCTAGGCAGATGTTTGCCTACTTCTGTCTATTTTTTTTTAACTGCTCTTGCAGTCTTATTTTCAGGTAATTATAGCCTAGGTCACATCCGCAAGTTGGGTTATTTTTATATACGAAGCACTGTGCTTCTTTCTACAAACACAAATAGTGTATTTATAGGTAGTATTGATCAAATGTTCTTTGCACATGGTATTTAAGGCTAAGTGAGGTACCTTGGTGTGTTGATTCTTTTTTTTTTGGTAGTAGACCATGATGCGTCCTATTTTTGCAGACTTGTGTTACTTGGTATTTGAAATAAAATGCAGTTCTGCAATCGATGCCATTGAATCTTTTGCCCAAAGAAAGACTAGATGACCGGCCCAGGGTATTGTGGCTGCCTGAACTCATGACATAAAAACCCTTTAGCTCTTAATTCTGGCATCATAACCACTTCAGTCGGCTGTCAGTTTGTTTATGTCACTGTGCATCCCTGTCTCTGAAGAGTGATCTTTTCTCTGAAAAGGGATGCACATTTGGTGTGTATTTAGTATTGCTGCAATACGTGGAAATCTGTAATAGACTTGGTAAGGACTTTCTCACTAAATTGTAGTAATGCCAGAAAAAGACAGTTGCATCAGGAAACGCATGACAAGGAGAGATGGTGGAGAATATAAATAGTTTAGAAAATGAAAGTTGGGCTGAGGGGTGAGTGAGAATGATGGTAAATTCTCAGTGAAGATGCACTGCAAACAAGCCAAGGGACATGGGGATAAAATTGGAGGAGAGCTATTGAAAGCAAGGCAGATTTGGAGCTTAGGGAAAAGAGATTTAAGTGGGTTTTGCTTTGACAATATTTCCAAAGTGGTTGAATCCATCAGGGCTGAACAGTGAGGCAAACCCTCAGTTTATTGGCCATGTAGGAAGATGTTCAGTGTGAGTTCTTGCTCAGCAAGGCTCTTTTTGAGTTTGTGATGGCTGGTGATGGGAGAAAATGTATGTATTTGCTTTAACCTTAGGCTTGGGCAAGCTTTCTTGAGGAGAGGGGGCTTCCTGCCAGTAAGGCAACGTACGTGCCGGTTGGTGGGAGGTCTGAGAAAATCTCTTAGAGTAACTTGTGGCTCTGTTGTACAACTGAGATATTAAGTGTATTTCCTTTATCTTCTATAAAGCATGCATTCATGAATACGATTGACAAAAGGAGCTGATAAAAGTTGGGTTGTGTTATGGTATTCATCTTATTCCACAACAAACATAACAGCACTGGTACCTGCAGTGTCCTGGAGCTACTATAGGGCCTTATCTGCAAGGAGGTGTACGGAGAACTTGACTTCCATGAGTAGTCCCATTGGCCTTTCTCCTGCTTCTTCTCCCAACCCATGGATACTGTACACAGAAAAAGGTTATGAATATGTGTTTGTTAAGGTCATAACTGTTACAATGTACCATAGATTCAGCATGGTTGCCTCTGTGTGTGTAAACTGAAACACAAACACAGAAGAAAGAGCGTGTTATTAGCACTAACGTGCATTCTTGGTTCTCTTTATCTGCAACCTAATTTTGCAAAGACTCTGTGCAAATGAAGTTTTTATTGAACATTGATTGGGAAGAAGAGTCACACCTGCAAGAGAATAAGTTTATTTACCAAAATGCATATATGTGACTTTGTTTTGTATTGAAAAATGCTGTGTGTTTCTCAAAGACATCATTATTTCTTAGCTGACTAATTATCTCAAAAACATTCCTTTTTTGATTTTTGAATCTCTGCGAGTAATGTAAATTTTAAGTGTCTGTTTGCAATGGACATTCTTGGTACAACTATTTTTTGCTGGTTAATAATCAGACCAAAGATTAAACTAAAGTGTTCAGCTGCTATTGTTTAAAAAAAAAAAAAAAAAAAGGTGTTTTTATAGGCTCAAAGTGTCAGCCCATTTTAATGAAACGTTTATAAATTCATTTCCTATTTAATATCAAAATACATTTGCACTTCTATTGTTTCCATAAAAAGTTGGTGGTTTTAATATTTCACTGTAGTAATAAACAGCTGTTTTAAAGTATCTATGCCTCAAGAATTAAATTCCTTGTTACCTTTTTTCAGTAAAGGCTACCTGCAGCCACAAAACTGTGATCGGCAGGTTTATGTGCTCTTTAGGAGGAGACTACTAAAGTGGCAAAACCATGGGAAAGCAGGAGGTCGACACCTTGGGAGTTGTGCAGAGGGATACGGGAGGAGAGCCAGGAGAGAGACTAGAGCGCGGCTGGCACCATCTGTGGTGTTCCTGACTTTTGAAATGGAGCACATTGGGGTTTGTGGCTGTCTTGCTCAGAGGTTAAGAAGGCATCAGTTCTTGTTTCTCTGGCTCCAGTTTCAGATTGCTGCATAAAATCTGCTTTTTCTGGTGCTTAATGAAGACCTGGGACTTCATCTTCGTTTCACAGTATCTGTGTGAGCTTTTCAGCGTGGCATGTAGACACGTCTCCGTTCCAAACCGCGTAGGTCGCGCTTTATTAAACACGAAAAAAGTCCTGCTGAAGCCAGCAGGAGTTTTGTGGATGGGCCAGCAAGTTACCTGTCCTTTATTGGACTTTGGTAAGATGCCAGAACTATACACTCGTGGCTTGTGCTGATGTTCCCTATTAAAGAATGAAATAACAGCAAGACCCCTGGCTTTTTAATCACGAAATCAAAGCTAGGCTGAAAATAACTGTCTCCAGGTCTTTGTGTGCCTGCCTCTTACCTTGCAGGGAATAGCTTCTGTAAGAGGGGCAGCAGTCACTGGTACAGGGCTGAGGCAGCCCAGCTGGCTAACGGACTTCTCGCTGGCAAAGACTGGGAGAATGTCATTCCTTTAGTGTCAACGCTCAGTCACCCAAGTCAGCGTGGAGGAAGTATATTTAGATCTTTTGCCTCTTTAATAGCATTATCTTGTATTAATGGCTTCCTTTAAAAGCAATAACCATCCTCTGGTCTCCATTCATTCCTTGCTCTGAAATGTGTCTCTGTTTGAAGCCTGAGTATTCAGCAGAAAATCATTAAAGAAACATAGGAGTTTCCTTTCACGATAAATCTGTTAACAAAAAATTAACTGGCCTAAGGACTTGCATGCTTGGTGTTTAAAGAAAAGCCTGTTTGCATCCAACTCATTGGATAAATTGTTTAAAATCTTTCCGTCCCTGTGCAAATACCTCCCTTGTAATGCAGCCAAGGTCAGTAGTGAATTGCTGATTAAGTACTGCTAATGCAA